GCAAACAGACTTAATGTATATGATATGTACTCACATTTTATGTTAAGTGCATTTACTCAAAAATGTTTAAAAAAAACATCTTTGCACATATAGATCCTTAACAGATATATTCTGTTTTTCCTGCAGAAGCACATCAAACCAAATTGATGGCAGGATGGAATACACCTTCCAGGATGGAGATGCCATACAACCAATCAGCTTCCTAAATGAGCTACATCTGCCAACCACTACAACAGTGCATCCAGAAACAACAACAGGTTTCTCTGTGACCCCTTCAAATCTCATGTAAGTGTTGCTTTTCAATTTTGAGAACAATCAAAAATAGAGAAGTAATTTTACTGCAAACATTCGATGTACATTAAACAAAAGTGGTTTTATTTACAGACCTGGTTCAGCAGTGGTCACAAGCAAGCTGGTGTTCAGCTCCTCATCTCCAGTCCCCAGTGAAGCTCTGGTCCTCAGCGCTATCAACACTCTCCGTAATTCCAGAGAGTCACAGCTCAGTGAATCAGTGCAGGTGCTGAATGTCACCTATGAGAGTAAGTATCATCATCTTCACCTGAAAAGCTTTTGAAATATTAAACTGTCAAATTTTGACAAAAAAAAATAAAACTTTTATATCCAAACAGAAATCACGGCAACCTCCTATGCTGTCATCTTTAAGTTTAATTTGAGTAATCTCAGCATGTCAAAAGATCCTGAGCTAAGAAATGGCACATACCTACAAGCTCAGGGAGTCGCCAATAATGCGGTAAGCATAAAGCATTAACTGAGTACAATTTTTAGGTCCAATATAATTGTTCTCCAGAGTTTCATGAATGTTTGATTTTTCTTCTGCAGCTGAACACTCTTCTGAATGATCCTGGCAGAACAACTTTAAATCCCAAGTCGACAAACTTCATGTAAGATGCAAACAGACTTAATGTATATGATATGTACTCACATTTTATGTTATTAAGTGCATTTACTCAAAAATGTTTTAAAAAAACATCTTTGCACATATAGATCCTTAACAGATATATTCTGTTTTTCCTGCAGAAGCACATCAAACCAAATTGATGGCAGGATGGAATACACCTTCCAGGATGGAGATGCCATACAACCAATCAGCTTCCTAAATGAGCTACATCTGCCAACCACTACAACAGTGCATCCAGAAACAACAACAGGTTTCTCTGTGACCCCTTCAAATCTCATGTAAGTGTTGCTTTTCAATTTTGAGAACAATCAAAAATAGAGAAGTAATTTTACTGCAAACATTCGATGTACATTAAACAAAAGTGGTTTTATTTACAGACCTGGTTCAGCAGTGGTCACAAGCAAGCTGGTGTTCAGCTCCTCATCTCCAGTCCCCAGTGAAGCTCTGGTCCTCAGCGCTATCAACACTCTCCGTAATTCCAGAGAGTCACAGCTCAGTGAATCAGTGCAGGTGCTGAATGTCACCTATGAGAGTAAGTATCATCATCTTCACCTGAAAAGCTTTTGAAATATTAAACTGTCAAATTTTGACAAAAAAAAATAAAACTTTTATATCCAAACAGAAATCACGGCAACCTCCTATGCTGTCATCTTTAAGTTTAATTTGAGTAATCTCAGCATGTCAAAAGATCCTGAGCTAAGAAATGGCACATACCTACAAGCTCAGGGAGTCGCCAATAATGCGGTAAGCATAAAGCATTAACTGAGTACAATTTTTAGGTCCAATATAATTGTTCTCCAGAGTTTCATGAATGTTTGATTTTTCTTCTGCAGCTGAACACTCTTCTGAATGATCCTGGCAGAACAACTTTAAATCCCAAGTCGACAAACTTCATGTAAGATGCAAACAGACTTAATGTATATGATATGTACTCACATTTTACGTTAGTAAGTGCATTTACTCAAAAATGTAAAAAAAAAACACCTTTGCACATATAGATCCTTAACAGATATATTCTGTTTTTCCTGCAGAAGCACATCAAACCAAATTGATGGCAGGATGGAATACACCTTCCAGGATGGAGATGCCATACAACCAGTCAGCTTCCTAAATGAGCTTCGTTTGCCGACAGGTTTGTCAAAACTGACAATGGATTGCAAATGTTGTAACTGCAAGCTTCCTCCATTAATCATTACTTTCTTTTACAGTCGTAACAACAGCCAGTACTCTGACAACTACTCCACAGATAGTGTAAGAGCAGTGACTTCAGTCTGATATTTACTTTTTTCTTTAATTTTAATTTTCATTTCCTACCTTAATGTACATTATTTATTGTCTTTGTAGGCTTGGCAGAGCACTTATATTCATTCGCCTCGTGTTTGTCACACTGGGCCCCCTGCCCAATCCAGATAAAATTCTTGAGGTGGCCAACACTCTGATGAAAACACGTCTCACAACTAAACAAGACACCACAACACAAGACCTGAGTGATCCTGTGAGCTTTGTCAATGTCACATATACGAGTGAGTTTTTCTCTCCTGGTCTGGCTTCGTTTTTGTTCTGAATATGTTATTTAAATTCTAATGTTGTAGATCTGTAGCTTTTATAGCCTATAAGTTAAATTAACAAATAAATAATATTAAGAAATGCATTAGGGAAATTTCATCACCCACATATAACCACACAACTAATTAATTGTATTATATATTTTTAAGAAATAAACGAGACAGCCTATGCTCTCAACTTTGGATTTGAAATCAGCAATATAACCATGACTGAGAAACTTGAACTCAGGAATGGTACCCACCTGTTAATACAAGACTCTATTAACACATTGGTGAGTTGGAGACATTTCAGTAAAGTAGTCTTTTTTTACAAACATTTTTTTTACTTCTTCTCTCTCTCTTTCTCTCTCTCTCTCTCGCTTTCATTTACCACATTAACCTCAACATATTTATAAACAAATTAATCAAATTTTTTCAGCTGGGCAAGATCCTCCTCAGTAACTCCTCAGCTCCTGTCATTAAGTTCCAAGCAGCAGATTTCACGTAAGTTCTGACTCACTTTTTACTTTGATTTGAGCAAATATGTGATGACTACCTGATGACTCTTCATTGGTGTTAGTTGGGAAGTTTTTGTACATGAGTACATGGCTTGTGACTAAAAATTATTTTTAGTTATTGACTTTAGTTTCTCATTGTACATTTCAATCTTCCCACAGGGGTAATTCCACTGTGATTCAGGCCAAAGTAGAGTATGTTTTCTCACCAAGTGACATCAAGCAACCCAGCATCTTTGTTCAGGAACTTCTCCAACTCGCCGAAGGTATTACCATGTCTACACCTGCTGCACTGTCAACCATCTGTTACCCCACAGTTTATATGTCCAAACATACAATCAAATGTTAAACTTCCATTTTTTAAGTTGTCGTGTTTTATATGTCTTGCTTCAAAAACACCAAATGCTGTAATTGAAAGTATGATTCTCCATTAATTATTCATTTCTTTTACAGCGGATACTCTGACAACAACTTCACCACCGATCTTGTAAGACCAATGAGCAATTTTTTTATATATATATTTTTTTTAAAGCTAGTTGTTTTAATTTTCTGTGTTTACATTCCAATAATGTATCAACTTTTTTTTATGCAGGAGTAGGAGGGCAATTATTAGGATTCGTCTCGAGTTTATCACACTGGGCCCAAGACCAAGCGAGAATAGTGTTCTGGAGTTGGTTAAATCTATACTGGCTGCAAATGTCACAACTAAACTAACTGCCAGAACAGTAAGCGTTAGTGAACCTGTGACCTTGGCGAATGTCGTCTATTTGGGTGAGTTTTGCTCTATTTTCATGCTCCATTTTTGTTGTGAATATAACATTTGTATGCAAATGCTGCATCTGTTGTAATCATGTAGTCCTTATTTATGACTTCCTTTGAAGGAAAATAATAATTAAAAAGCAGTCAATAATTATGCATAGTGAAAATGGATAATGGAATACCACGACCCATATATAGTCACACAACTAATTATTTTTGTCATTTATTTTAAAGCAATTAATGACACTGCCTACGCACTCATCTTTGCATATGAAATCAGCAAAGTATCACTGACAGAGTTAAAATGGAATGAAACCTATCAAGTAATCCAAAAGAAGATAAATGACTTGGTGAGTTGGAGAGGCTTGGATATTGTTGTCCTGAAATTGCCCTATTTTAGTCATTAACTATTGTTTTTTTTTAACTGATGCACTCTACAGGTGATCCAGATCCTAAAGGACCCCTCAGTTAATCTGCTCATTCCAGCCAATTTCAAGTGAGTTCTGATCCACTGCTATTTACTTTGTCTTGAGAAGAAATGTCTAAATTAATTGAAGAAAACTGCTTTTATGATACATAGGTGAATGAATGGTAAGATCATTTTTAGATATTTACTTTTGTTTCTCATTGTACGTTTTAATCTCTCCACAGGGATAATCTCACCGTGATTGAGGCCAATGTTACGCATGTTTTCTCACAATATGGCAGCAACACGGGTGCCGGTTTCTTGGTCAGTGCCCTTTTCACGGCTTTTACCACACCAGTTCCAACCACCATGAACACTACAATCTTAAACAACAGTACAAACGTAGCATGGATTGTGGCTATCATTGTCCCCTGCGCTATTGTCATCGGGCTCGTACCTTGCTGGATTCTCCTTTGCGTAAGTATTAGGATGACTGAATGTCAAATATGTGCATTGGTAGTGAAGCGATTAATGACAACAGACATGTGTTATTCTTACGGTAAAAACAGACGTAGATCTTCCTTTTAAATGTGGTATATAATTGTGTATGTACATCTGTATAAAATTCCCTTCCATGATGCTAACTCTCACTTTGTCTGTTGATGTGTTTAGTGTTTGCTGTGTGGTTGCTGTGCAGCAATCAGAAGACGTTGGCACAGAAGACGATCATACAATGTACAGTACACAACTCGAAACAGCCTCTTCTAGAGAGTTCAGAGATATTTGACAAAAACAGGACTGACCACCAATGATAACATAAAAATCATGGTTTTTGGATATTCAAAATGCAATTCAATGCTGCCTCTTTTAAGGTAACGAAAGTACTATGTCAATGCTTATATTATAAATTATTTATTGTATTATGCCTGTATTGCTAGACAAACAAGTGCTCTATAAAATGTTCCTAAATGTGATGTTTGAATTCTTCCTATAGTGTATAATGAAATTGTATTGTTCTTATTTATTTGTATTTATTGTAATATTCTGTTCATCGTTTACAATTAATTAGCTTTTGCAAATCATTAGTCTGCTTGACATAACGCAGTTTCATTTAAAGGGACTAAGCTGGAACTTTGGAATTACAGCTATTATTTCTTCATACTCCATGCACTTTATAATGTAAAGCAAAGGTAAAGCAAGCTCATGCTGTAAAGGAAATGTAAAGCAAATGTATGCAAGTATTTGGCATGGACATGTTTAACTGCAAAAAACTGTAATAAAAATACTAGATTAATAAAGAATACAGAACAATACAGAAGTTTGTGTTTCTCTTTGTAATGTAAATATAAAGTTTACTCATTATTGGCCTTAGTCTTGAACATCAAAGCTGTTTATATGGTAAACAATATTACCCAGAATTCTGTGAATATATATATATATATATATATTATTATTATTATTTTTATTTTTATTTTTTTCTAGTTTTGATCTGCGGACATGTTTAACTGCAAAAAACTGTAATAAAAATACTAGATTAATAAATATATATATATTATTATTTTTAATTAGGTGGAAATAAATGCATATATTTACAATCTATTCAAGATGTATTCAACAAATGAAAGTTCCACAACTAATGGATATCTTCTGAGCCACTGTTCATTTGTTGAGGTTATGCTTAACTTCATAGCTCAGATCAAGTCCAGGTTTAATGTCAGATGTGCAACAACATTGCAGTCAGTGGGCTTCTTTGGTTAGATTAAAATAAAATACAAAAAAATAAATAAAAAAGGTTGTTTTGCAATAATAAATAGCCTACATAGCGGTAATGATACAGGGAAGATAGAAAAAAGTCCAGCAACCATAAATGCATATTATAAGTTGTATTAAATCTTAAATGTCAATCAATATGAAAATTAGCATACATTAACAGAACATAAAACTGATCATTGATAAAGCCAGTTCAAAATTATTGTTTCATTTTGTTTGCATACTTGAATTAATTATTCATAATTATTTATTATTAATAATTATGTATTCATAAATCAGAAAATACTGTCAACAGCCAGAAAAAAAAGAAAATGTACTTTTACCTTTTCAGAAATAAATCATTAGAAATAAATAAATCCTTTTAAAACATAACTAATTTAGAGAGAGAGAAAAAGCCTTTCAAAGTAAGTATTATAATTGAAATCTACTTAGGCTATATAAACAGATGAATTGCAATGAAATAAAGACTTACCTCCCAAAATTGGCCAGTGCATAAATATTGTTTAGCCTGTAGTGTCTTTATTTATTTAGTTAGTTAGTTAGTTAGTTAGTCACTGTGTCCATTCCTCATTAACTTCTCAGTCCATACCAGTATTTAACATCCGAAATATTCCAAATGAACCGCTATGTTCACTCAGTTGTGATACTGTGCTAAAGTAAACATAATGTTTATGGACACATGAAATTAGCTTGGTAGCATGAGAGCTTTTATTTTAAAAAGCACAAGCGGATGTTGTCGACTCATTGGCCAGCTTCGCGTTTGAAGAGAGCTAGACCCGTATGCATACTCATTTGGAAGGGTTTATTGTATGGACTGATTCACTGTTATTAAAGGAGCTTAATCTAAACAGATTACAGCGCAATGGCAAATATGATAACGTTTCAGACGCAAATCGCTTCAGTTATGGAAGTACTCGCAAACGCCGCTGTGGCCGAAATCTGCAAACTTGTTGAGGAAAGCTATAGCGAATTACAGCTTGAAATATCTCAAACACAAAAGGACAATAACCTCCTTAAAAAGAAATTGAAAGTGTTAGAAATCCGAGATTCGTTTTATAGAAGAGCACACAAACTAAGAAACGAATCAACTGCCTTGACAAAAACAGAAGTTCACGCAAAAGCATCAGGTAAAGAGGTGATCATGGACGTGGCCATTTAAACAATATTTGTTGGTGATGTCGGACTGATTCCGTTATATTAAAAGTCACTATTATAACTTATTAATTACTAATGGAGAACGTAATATGCTTGTTTCCAGGGCGAATTAGTGTGAAACTTGCTTCTCTGTGTAATGAGGGTAGGACTGAAGATGAAGCTCGCTCCGGTAAAGTCTCGCATCTTCAACACGAAAGGCTAGACCAGGTTTGCATTTAGTAAATTGGGTGTTATTACCTTCATCTTTTTTTTTGTCTTGTGCTGGTGTTTTATACACTTCAAACTGCAAACCAGCTGTTATCTGTTGTGTTCAGTTTGATAGTTCCACCTTTTTCTTTGTTCAATATCTTGCAGCACTCAAAACGGTCTTCCTACAGTGCTTATACTTCCCCATTTATCACAGAGTTCGTCTTTTGTATGATTAGCATTCCAATGATACTTGAAGAACAAAAAAAGTTGAACTTGATCCCCTTAAGATAAACTATTTGGCATAAATATTATGCAAGTGTGCATTTCCTTTCAGCAACTTCAGGTACTGTGTGTCGCTTACTATTATTTAGTTGTTGATAGATAGATAGATAGATAGATAGATAGATAGATAGATAGATAGATAGAAAACAGTTGTACTGCTTAACATTTTTGTGGAAAGTTCAAAAGAACAGCATTTATTTCAAATAGAAATCTTTTGTAATACTGTAAATGTCCTTTTTTATCTGTATAATGCATGTTTGCGCAATAAAAGTATTGATTTATTTGAAAGTATTAATTTATTTGATTTATTTTGAATATTGGTGTATATGCCATCTCTACATATCTGGATATACTGGCATATGGGGAATGTTGGGGAAGTCGTGGCCTAATGGTTAGAGAGTCGGACTCGTAACCCAAAGGTTGCGGGTTCGAGTCTCGTACTGGTAGGGATTGTAGGTGGGGGGAGTGAATGTACAGTGCTCTCTCCCACCTTCAATACCATGACTGAGGTACCCTTGAGCAAGGCACCGAACCCCCAACTGCTCCCCGGGCGCTGCAGCAAAAAATGGCTGCCCACTGCTCTGGGTGTGGGTGTGATCACTGCTGTGTGTGTGCACTTTGGATGGGATAAATGCAGAGCACTAATTCCTAGTATGGGTCACCATACTTGGCCACATGTCACTTAACTTTTTTCACTTCACTTCACTTTTGTAGGCCATTGAAAAATCCATGTCAGATGACCACTAATTGCTACTGCTGAAAAAAAAACTGATTTTTTCCATAAACATATGCTCTCAGGAGTCATGCCAACATTGTGCTTTTCATCAGTCTGTAGGGGATAACGAACCAGATGTTCTTCTTATTAAAGAAGAGAGACCTGGCAATGTGAGGTGTGAACACTCGGAAAGAGAAACAGAGACTGCTGAAAACCGTGAGTATGGTGTATTCATTTTAGGGAATAAGTGCATTACCTAGTGGTCAGATCTGTGATTAGTTGATGTCAACAGAATGAAAAAAATAAGGCTTTTAAGGAGAACTGATCCAATCAAATAATGATGTAAGGTAACACTTTATTTTAAGGTGTCCTTGTTACACGTTACATGTACTTACTGTTAAAATAACAAGAAATTATGCAGAATTACATTCAAGTAACCCTAATCCTAACCCTAACCATATAGTAAGTACATATTGTTAATTAATATTACTCGGTACTTAAATGTATAATTACACTGTAACAAGGACACCTTAAAATAAAGTGTTCCACGTTGCAGGTAAAGACGACAACCAGTACAGGAGTGCTAGAGTCTTTGTAACAGTCCACAGAGAAAACTTCATAGACCAGAACTCAGTCCAGCACTGCCATCAAGAGGTAAGAAACTGTATTTCTCAAATCAGTGAGCTCAGTTGGCCACTAATAATTTATCAGGAATCATGGCAGCATTGTGCTTTTTATCAGTCTGTAGAGGATGACGAGCCAGATGTCCTCATTATTAAAGAGGAGAGACCTGACAGCATGAGGTGTGAACAGTCAGAAAGAGAAACAGAGACTACTGAAAACCGTAAGTGTGTGTACAAATTAATCCAGAGAAGTAATTAGAAATTAAATAATTGGTAATATATGCAATATTACTAATTATTTGATTTCTAATTATCTGGTAACATATGGTGGAATAGATTCATAAATTGTCAAATATATGTTAAAGTTATTAGTTATTACAATTAATAATAGTGTTATTTGTCTTATCTCTTTATTGCATATTTTATTTTATATTTATTTTCCAGAGAAAATATTTAAACATGACAAACCTTTGAGTGAATATTGAGATTAAAATTTAAATTCATCCTTGTTTACTATTCGTGATACACTTGCTTTCCTGGTAAGACGACACACAGTACGGGAGTGCAGGAGTTTTTGTAACAGTCCACAGAGATAACTTCATAGACCAGGACACAGTCCAGCACTGCCATCAAGAGGTTAGTGTGAGAGATAGCATACCTGCATTTGTTTACAAATCAGGCTCATGACAGACTCATACTACCTCTCTTTCCCCCGCTACACACGGCTTCTCTTTTTGTTAACATAGGATTAATATTGTTACCTATTCCTAGTAAGCATTTTAGTTGTGGTCTAGTATATTCAGATTTAACATGAACTGACAATGTAAAAATACTTCTAAAGCATTTATTTATGTCATTTATTAATGCATTATTAAAATAAAAAAAGTTGCAAATAACGGTTATTGGAGTAATTTGAATAAGTACATTTCAGTTTCTGCTTCAAAATGTCATGTTTTTTCAGTGTGTTACAGTACATTGTGTGATTACAATATGATGTTTTTAAATTATTTGTAAAATTTACTAGCATTTTCTGAGTGAAATTTGTTTCAAAGTGCTTTTTTTTTGTCAGGGTATTCTGTTATTGCGTCCAATGGCTCTAAGCTAACTTGAACAGTTGTATTTTTATTAACTAACATGTAAGAGTTTTACTTAATGCATTAACTAATATTAACTAATGGGACTTTATTGTAAAAAGTGTTTCAAACCAATCATATTCAATTAGTGTATTTCATGGTACAGAGATTGTATGTCTAGAATACAGAAACAATTGCTTTCTGCTAAAATTGCCTGTAGCATTCAAAAATAATAAAATTAACCATCAATGATCTGTTCCTCTGGCAGTCCAATGGAATGCAACCTGATCTCCTTGAGGACGATGATATTGGTGAAGATGCACATTTACTAAGCAGTAAATAGAAAATTCTTGTTGTAACTGACATAATTACTAAATACAGTATTTGCTCATTTTTTTATTGCTTACTGGTTTCCATTTACGCATGTTGTATTTCTAAACAGGTGAAACCAGAATGGAGAGACATTGTGATGGAGATACAGGGACTAACCTGCAGCCTGTCCCTTCCTATCCTTCATGGGTTTCCAGGAGATTTGACAGAACCACAAATCATGCCTCCTATGCTGAATCTGAATGCAATGGAGGACCTTCTGTGAATCAGTGTTTGATGTACAGAGGGAGCGCAGGTCCCACGTGTTCCTATGCAACTCCAATGGACTCTAATGGCTTGTCTATGTCTGATATGGAAGGCCATTTAACACACGGCGATGAAGGTAACGTCATTTCTCAATCCGAACGGTCCCCTTTCTCGCCGTGCTTTTCTTTCAAACAGTCAGACTCGCCTCTGATGCAAAGGAAAGACAAGTTTATGTGTAAACATTGTGGAAAAGCATTCTCTCAACCCAGCACTCTCCTCTTGCATCAAAAACTTCATAACAGGGAGAGGCTTCACCACTGTACACTCTGCGGTAAGCGATTTAGTCAGGCATCTAGTCTCAAAAGACACCATAGCATCCACAGAGGTGAAAAACCATTCAGTTCATGAACTATTTTCAGATCAGAGAATAGCATTGTATATATGTGTGTGTGTGTGTGTGTGTGTATATACAGTGGGTACGGAAAGTATTCAGACCCCCTTAAATTTTTCACTCTTTGTTATATTGCAGCCATTTGCTAAAATCATTTAAGTTAAGAGTCACAGACATGATACCATGGCTTGAGGAAATGTTGCTTTGGTGACCTCAATGGCCAGTCCTCCAGAGGCCAGAGCCAAATCCACAGAGACCTGATTTAAGGGATTGGAGATCCTGGTGGAGTAATACTGACTCTGGCCCTGATTTGGATCCTCGCTCCTCCGGCGAGCAGCAAGACTGTTAGTCAACATGAAGTTCACCTATAAAAAAGTAGCAAAGAAAATGTGATTTATTGACTTACACAGTTTAGCAACTCTCTCATCTATTTAGACCTACCAAATAATGTCAAAAGCAGAACTACCAAATCATAAAAATAATATATACAATTAAATGTGTAACCAATCAGCCAATGAGTAACCAACACTCTTATAAGGACTTCTTTCTTTTTTCATGAACTATTTTCAGATCAGAGAATAGCATTGTATATGTGTGTGTGTGTGTATATATATGGCTGTATTAGATCAAAAGGTTGCTTCTACTAAATACTGAGCAAAGGGTCTGAATACTTAGGACCATGTGATATTTCAGATTTTCTTTTTTAATAAATCTGCATAAATGTCAACAATTCTGTGTTTTTCTGTCAATATGGGGTGCTGTGTGTACATTAATGAGGAAAAAAAATTAACTTAAATGATTTTAGCAAATGGCTGCAATATAACAAAGAGTGAAAAATTTAAGGGGGTCTGAATACTTTCCGTACCCACTGTATATATATATATATATATCCCCTACACTGCCTTTATAACAACTGATGCTGTCAATCACTTTGGTTCGGTGTTGACTTAATATCTCCCAAAAATTATTATTGTTAATAATTGTGTATCTCTGATTGAGATATTCCATGGGGAAAAGAGATCAGATTATCTGGATGCAAAATTTATATATGTGGACAAAGGTAAATGTGCTGTTCTGATTGGGTAATGATCCAGTCTGGCATGTTAATGCCAACTGAAAAAAGGCCATTATAGTCAGTTTTGAAACTTTGATACCTGTTCTATTCAGTTGCACAATATGATGCTGAAAGCAAGAAAGTGTCTTGTGTGGACTGTGAACAGTACCCCACTTCTGAATTTCTCCAATGGTTCTTCTTGTGGGATTTACTTAGGTCTGTCATTCGGGGACACATTTAATAAACTGATCATGGCATCTGATTAAAAAATAGTAAACATACCTCAAAAAGTTAAGAGTCTCCCAAAAAAACGTCTAATGTCTTCCAGGAGTTCTCTGGTTGCAGCGATGGCCTTGTGGGGACTCTCAGTTTGCATCTGTTCTGTCAGAAATATGTCCTCGTCTAAAAAAGTCACGAAAAGGCTGGGACAGATGATATCGTTCTTTCTATTGACACACCTGTAGAGTATGTAGAGCCTCGCCCAACCGCTTTCTTGCGGTTTCATATTTGCCTCTTGGCTGAAACAGAAAAGACATGCAAATACTGACATGAAGTATTTTCCTTTTGAATAGATTGCATCTCTCTCACGGTCTTCATTCATGAAAATGAATGGATAGACACATTCGATGCATCTAGGTCCTTTTTTAATATTCAATCACTGCACATTCACTGTTGTCCATGTCACTAGAAAATGGACCTGCGCGTACAGACTGTTTGCAGACATCAGCAGACTGTGACGTTGGTCTTTAGTATGACATGAACTTGCAAGTTCAAAAAAAGTTGGTAAAAGAAAATTCTGTTCAGTCATTTTTAGCCCAGCTACCTTTGCAGCTCACAATGTTTTAAATATGTTGTCATAATGTGTATTTCTGATGTACTAATTTATTTATACCCTCAAAATGTAAAAAAGGTTCATAACCACAACAAAATAATAACTCCTGTCTTCACCCACCAGCACAAAATGTCTTCCTTGTTGGAGTGCCTGAGCCTTACAGACTTCTGCTGTTGTTTGTGAAATTGCTTTTTTGCGTTATTTCTTGGTGGGTAATGGAACTAGTTAGGAGAACCTTGAAAGCCAGAAACCATTCTTCATTGTGCAGAATGACAAAGAGGATGATAATTTTATAGAGCGAACTTTGAGACATTTTGGCTTAATCTGAAAAATAAATAAATCAATCAAACAGTAAGATATGCATAATCACATATACCTCAATTCTTGATAACAGCCTGAAGAGGATTCTCTGCTGGTTATCCTTCAGAAAATCATGCAGATTGTATATTTTCTATTAAATTTCATTGAATTAATTTTGTATTGGATTGGCCTTCAATCTGTGACCCTCTTAAAGACCTAAACCTGTTCACATATCAACGTTGCCACAATGTTTTACTTAATGAATTGTCATGACGTTTGAAGTCATTTCTCCTCAATTCTACTGTAAATCGTTCTACCCTCCTTATGATGGATCATTTATATGTCAGTCTAGAAGGTGGCCCTTAAATTAAGGAATGCGCCTCAAACAGGTTTTACTGTATTTATCTGTCGGTTTAGCTGAACTACTTTGTCTGGACAGTCTATAGGTTACTTTCAGTAGAAAGATTTGCACAAAAATTGCATGAATAGCAATCACTGTATCGCAACGATACTTTCACTTTTGCACAAAACGCAATTCATTGTTAGCCTAGATGTTTTCTGTGAAGTTAAGCTGGTTGCAAAGCACTACCAGTTCCTGCCTGAACTGAAAATGACATCTGTTTTGGCATATGTTATGTTCTGAAACATTTTTTTTATATTTCTATTGACTAACTTTTTGGAGTGAAGTATAGAAATGTATTAGGCTATTAATAATCAATGTTGTAGACAATTTCCATGTTTTGGGAAAATGTGCTTCTTGGTTTCACTGATTATCCTAAAAGGATGATGAATGATTTAATTACTCTTATTGTCAGAAATTTGACTGAATTTAAAATACATAAACTTGATAAGTGTTAATCTATAGAAATATTAAATGTGTAGTTTACCCCCCAAAAATGAAAATTCTAACATCACAAGAACGCGACACACACGTCTCCCGGAAATCCTGCATAATTCAACCAATCCGGTGACGACTTCGAAATTCCTGAAGTGTTTCCACTTTTGTGTGCTGTATGCATCAGACTTTCAGCCAACGGTCCGTGGGCGTGACTCACGTCTGAGGCTGAGACTAATATATAGCCTACTTCTGTAGAACACAAAAGAAGATGGGAAAGTCTTTCACTGTATGGTCAAAAGACATTTATCAAAATATCTTTGTGTGTGTGCCTGTTTTTCTATTCTGGTGGGACTTAAACCTGAATACACACAGACTCATGGGAACTCGTGTCACGGTGGGGACCTAAATTGAGGTCCTCACGGGTAAACAAGCTAATAAATCACACAGAATTAAGTTTTTTGAAAATCTAAAAATGCAGAAAGTTTCCTGTGAGGGGTAGGTTTAGGGGTAGGGTTGGTGTAGGGCAGGGGTGTCCAAACTCAGTCCTGGAGGGCCGATGTCCTGCAGAGTTTTGCTCCAACTTGCCTCAACACACCTGCTGGTAAGTTTCTAGCATGCCTAGTAAGAGCTTGATTAGCTGGTTCAGGTGTGTTTGATTGGGGTTGGAGCTAAACTCTGCAGGACACCGGCCCTCCAGGACCGAGTTTGGGCACCCCTGGTGTAGGGCAATAGAATATATGGTGTGCACAGTAGAAAAACCATTACGCCTATGGAGAGTCCCCACAAGGATAGCTGACCAGACTGTGTGTGTGTGTGTTCTACAAAAGAAATAAAGCCATTTTGATTTTGAACGACACGATGGTGATGACTAAAGGGTGATGAGTAAATGCTGTCAGAGCTTATATTTTTTAATTTTCATTGAAGGTGTCTGCAGCAAAAGTATGCCGCTGGAGGACTTTTATTTTGAATAACAGTGAACATGCATCTACGATTGTCGTCAGCTTCGCAAAAGAAATGCGGAAGTGTCCGTGCTGCTGATTAAGTTCAGTAGCGTGCTGACACGTACATAAGGTAAAATATAAATTATGCTTGCCTTGTTATAGTTAATTTGCCCGTCGCGTCGTTCACATTTATTACAGAAATAATGCGAACTGCAGACGTGTTAAATAGACACTGACGAGCTGAACCTCATTCATTCGCTCGCTCGCTCGCTCGCTCGCTCGTTCATTCATTCACGTCCTCATTCTTTTGTTCAGCTAGCCAGCTGTTTATACAATTTGCAGCATCTTGTACACAGACAGTGTACAATTGTAGTCCTATTTTAGGGGCATATATTCCCGTAAATGCATTATTATGTGCTAACTGTAGTCAAAACCTCTTGACTTGTGGTGATTTGCAGGTGTATTTGAATGACTGTCGTCCCCAGACCAGCTTGCTCAGGTCAAAAGAAAGATGGGTAGGCGGAGGAAGAGGGTTGCAACAGGTGATGGTGTACCTAGCCCAAGAAAGGAGGAAAAAACACCAGCTCCCCCACGCAAGGAGAAGAAGAAGAAAACTGACATTGGGAAGGTGTTTATCAATATATCCATTGGTTTGTGTATCTTCAGTCTTATCTGGTTCTTCTATGCCCTTTATATGCGCTCATCCTTGGCCAGGAGGGTTGTGACCTTGCACCCCTCTCCACCGGTCTTGGATGCTAATAGCTCAAGTCCTGCTGTGTCTCCTGAAAGATATTGGGGTACCTATCGTCCCCAGGTGTACTTCGGGATGAAAACAAGAAGTCTCAGATCTGTTGTGACAGGTGGGGTGATTCCGATGGACACTTTATGCACCACTTCTATATATTTACTTGCCTTTGTGATGACTTGAGGTTATTACAAGCCTGCATTTTTTCTATTGATTTAATTAGGCTTAATGTGGATGCGTCAGTTTGCTGAAATGGATGGAAATCTTAGGCACACTTGCGAGCAAGGGGACCATTTGCTGGGCTACG